TGCCAGAGGGGGAGATGGTCTTTGAGTTATTGTTCTTGCAGTATCATGGGTTTATTTATATTATACTTGAGATCTGGAGTAGTCAACTTGGAAGGATTGTATCGCGGCGGAAACTAGTTGTGTTGATAAGCCTACTGCAAAGCAAAGAACCCAATGGTTTTACAATTATTTCCATACAAAATTTTCCATATAGCCGACCTCTTTACATAAAGTTTCTGTATTTCTTTCTACACTAGTAGTAAGGATACCTAGGATCAGAATGTTGCATTAAAAAGGACAGATGTGGCATGTTGCGTAGAGTTGAGAGGGTCAGAAAAGTGCTAGATGATCTATCGAGCAACTGCAATAAAGGATTTATCGGAAAGTTTGGTGTTTACAGTAAAACTGAGCAATTATATTAACCATGGTGTGCCTTATCCAAAAAATATATGTATATCGGTTTTTGGCCTAATTGGCCATACTAGCGACTCCTTATGGCTTTCCAATTATACAACACACGTCAAAACAATTCTTTCAGAAAATTGAAAAAACAAGGAATCTCGGATCATTGATTTTTTGCGAAGTGCCACAGAATTATCGAGCTTGAAAAATTGTTTTCCTCTTCGAAAAAACATTTTTCTCGAAATTCTCTGGGAAAGTTTTCTTTTGTGACTCGATAATTCAGCGACATTTCGTCAAAAATCAATGATCCGAGGTTCTTTGTTTTTTCACTTTTATTTTGACGTGCAACACCTCTCTAATAGCAAGGTCTGACTTTTATTCGCCACATTTTCTGCCCATATCACCCCAAAACCTTCGAAATTCCAAACTCCCGCCAAACTTTGGGCGCAAGCCGACTAGCCCTCGTTCTTTCGATGGCTCAAAAAACACACCTTTCATCGCTGCCCCCCACGAGCGGCCAGTCTGTGTTGGTGGGGCGGCTTTTTCCAGCTAGGTCAGACCGAGCATGCGACTCTCCCCGTCGCTCTCTTTCTCTGCCCCACTCTCCGCCGGCTCGCGTGCACTGTGCGCGGCGGGGCGCGCTGAGGTTCTCGGTCTTAAGTGAGCGTGCAAAAACTGGGGGGTAGTGGGGGGTGGAAAATAAGTGGAGACAGGAGGGAAAGAAGATGGAATAAATGTTTTCACTGGATCTCTTCGCTTTTTTTGTCTATGTATTATAGTTGTCTCATCCGGCTTGACATCGGAGGGGTGTTTTGGAATTGCGGTTTGGCGACGGCTACACCGCGATTAGGGTGTTTATTTTGTTGTTAATCTCAGCTTTATTGCTTCTGCTTTTGGGGTTAATATTACTGTAGTCGTTTGGTTTTGAGGGGAAAAAGTTATGAGGCGTTCAATTTGTATTGTCCTTGACATGGAAAGGTTAAGGTTTTTTTTGTCGTTTCCTAAGATTATTTGGACAAAACGCCAGGAAAATAAAGTCATTCTCACCTTTGTATATAGTAAACTTATTAACTAGCAAAAACCGTATCCCCGTATTTTAATACCTTGAAAGTTATGGCCGTTCAAACTTGAGCGGTTCAAAAAAGTTCAAAGTTTTTAATCCAATCTTTTTTAACAAAAGTTTACTGCAACGTAAGACTAATATTTCCTGAGGGCACTACCGTCATATGACGCGTACAGACGTCTCCTGTTATCTCTGATATTGCAGTATATTCAAGTTTGACCTCTCACCCATACATGACCTTTTAATTTATATTAACCCTTCAAATCAACAAAGGTTATTTGAAGTCAACATTTTCCTCTATTATGGCAGCAAATTCATCAAAAAACCCCTGAAATTCACTTGCAAATGACGTTGAGATTCAGCGGTTGTGTTGAGTCGAAACCCGGTTAGGTGGCTGATGGGGTAGCGATGAAAATGGCGGCGCGAAAAAAGTGGCCGCGCGTAATTGGTCAGTGAAAAAAGAAGGGGTTTTAAGTTACAAATAAGGCCCGCATGAAAGAGCTACTGCCTGCAGGTAATAATTAACGTGTAATGGCATGTAATTAGGCCATGAGATAAATCTTTTTGCCGTCGTTTTGAAGTGTAAACCCGTCTTTACATATATGTATATAATTCTGCCATTTTTCTATTCCTTTTTTGAGTTTTTGCCAAAAAAAACCAGCTGCAAAACATTGTAAATTCTTTGCAGAGGCTGAAAGGATGTATACATGGGTTTTCTATATGTTGTCCGGATTTTAAATCCATTTCATCACCGGATTAACCGCTTTGCACCGGGGATTTGTGGCCCGCTTAATGTTCCCACCGAATTGTTTGTTGTATGCTCGTTCTTGTCGTGTAATGCGAAGATTTTTTAGCTTATTACGACAGTATTTAGTTGCGTGTGATTTGCTATCTACCATAATATATTGTAGCTTTGCATATTAATACAAATTTTTGGTTTCTGTTATGATGACTTTTTTTTGAAAAACTTGCAAAAACTTTGAAAAATTGAGGAAGACAGAAAGTGAAAACGAAATATTAGATAAAGTATGCTTTGTTTATTAACCTGAAGGTGATTTTTCTTACACTTAATAAGTAATTATAATTAATTTTACACTTTTTCAAAATTTATTTTGTGAGATGTCTAAAATAATGTTTTTGTAAAATTTATAGCGTTTATCTGTTCTACTGCAAGTTCTATACTATCTACAGTGTACTTTATCCTTTGTACTATAATTTAGTGCCTCGAAACATTCGAAAATAATATTAGAATACAATTTTTTTGGGTTATATTATCCATGAGGTCTTCATTTGCCGATTTATCAATATTACATTTATCTTTTCACCTGTAGTGTCCAAAACACCGTCAACCGAGTCCAAATGACCCTCTAAATCCATTGTCCGTCATCTGCTAATCCGTTCGCCTAAGGCCGTTTCGCATTTCGGAGCTTAAACCCGCTTCCGAATCTCGGCCAATTTCCGGTCGATTGCATAATGGGGGAATTTGCAACCGCCGCAATATCTCGCCCCACCAAGAAGTCCTGCCCGCAGTTTCGCCTCCGCGCCGGGAACGGTCTCTGGATGGAAAGTCGCGAACGCCCGCCGGCCGGTTTTTCGTTATAATTTCGGTCCCGCGCGCGCTGCAAAAAGAGAGAGGCAGAGAGCGAAAAATTCTTTAACCTCTGTGTGTCTCGCTCGACGCTCGCCCCGGACACTCGCGGTGTGTGATGGTGTACATGTGGGAAAGGGGGAAGGAAGCGGAGAGAGAGGAAGCCAGGGGATGGCGAAGAGTTTGTAGCGTTTGGGAAATTAAAAGGCGGGTGGGTTTTGGGAGTTGTAACCGAAAATTTGAAGGTTTCCGTGAAGCACGCGGCTCGGGTCGAAAGAAGGGCGAATTCTGAAGCCATCGATTGTGGGAGGTTGGGGGAACTTTGTCAAGATATGGTGTCTAGGTTCTATTTTCACCCTATTGTACCCTAAGGTGATGATTATTTTGCAAATGGGACAAAAAGAGGATTTATATTAAACTAGACCACCTGAACAAATAGTGCTGATTTTGGCCGGAATTTCAAAGATTTCGGGCTGAAATGAGGCCTACTGTTGAAAAAGAGCTCTCTTTCTTATCTCCACACAAATTTGTTAATTACCCAATCAGTGCACCAGATCAATGACCTTCCAAAACCCACCAAGTTTAAATTTTGCGCTGTTTTCGACAAAAACTGTCAGGCTAATTAAGCCGAAGAACTAAGTGGTCTGTCCGGTTCATGACCTCGATCCCCGCTTTGTCAGCCCCCTCTTGTTTTATCAGCGAAACTGTTTTAGTTCTTGTCTTTTGTATTTAGGCGCTCCATTTGCAATGTTTATCAGAAGAGGAGGGGGTCCGCCGTTTGATGTATACTTTTTCATTATTTATCGATTCGTTTATTGTTTTAAGGTTGTCGTAGGTTGTAACATATGCTTTGAAGTTTTTTACTATGGCATAAAGAACAAGTTTCGCGCTGTATTTTATCAAAAATTTGCATAATTTCTTCATGATGACTTAAAATTTTGGATGATGATTTTTGATGGTTTAAACAGTAGTGTTAACTGCTTGTTTTGAAAAAATCTTTGTATAAAAATAGTTGTCTGCGACTTCAACTTTATAAAAATAACAAAATGCGATCTATTTTTGCCTATCTTCCCCATCAATTTACCTTATATTATACTAGACATCAAATTTTTTCAAATATCTTGAAATCCATTTTCTAAGCTTAATTAGTATTCCTGAGGTATTCAAAAACATTGTCAATATAATTATCATCAAGTTTTTGACCCCATTGCATCCCATTTTCCCCATATTTCAGAGCAATCATCAAAAAATTTGCCTCATTTCCATCAGATTTTTAATGCCTCAAGGTCTTCCCATTTTCTCTCCGTCAAACTGACGTCTCGAAACGTTCGGATCTCCGGGCATGAAACAAAAAGAGAGAAATCGACTTGATCAAATTAATGTTCCGTCTCCACCGAAATTTCTCTTTTTTTTCCCCGTCCTGTTCTATCAATTTTTATCACACTTCACTTGCCCGCTTCGAAAGTTCGACCCGAGAAAAAGAATGTGACTTTTTATCTCCGATTTCCAAACTTTGTGTAAAATACGCACCTCGTGCACTGTGCAATCATTTTTTGGGGAGTGAAAATTTCGCACAGTGCGAAAATCTTTCTCGAACATCATGGATAATATATTGGCTGGAAAAAAAGGCGTTTAGATCGAGATGGAAATGAATCAGCATGGTGTTTGGAGTCTCCCATATCAGATATGTTTTTCATTTTCCGATAATTCGCCAAGGGTTTTTGATTTTACGCAACTTTTTTTGATTTTTCGACTTTCCTCGAAAAAAATTGTTTTTCTCTCAATTTCACCTTGTTTTCAAAGCCTTTTGCTGTTGCCAAATATTTTTCGAGATTTTTGGAATGTTACTCATCCATTTTAATCAATCATTGATCTCATTTGCCGATATTTTTCAGAGATCTTCTTCTCCTTTGTCTCCAAATGGAATAAAACTAACTATTATTGGATTTCACACGTGAAAGTAGAGCAATGACAACCTGTCTAGGCTCGTTAGAGGAGTGCCAAACTAATGTACTCTGTTTTGTAAGTTGTTTTTCGTTTTCCCGTTTTTCTTCGAATTTTAGGTAATAATTATGTGGAAGGTATCGAAAATGGATTTATGTATCGGGGATTGACTTGTAGCTAGTGTGGCGATGGTTCTAGATGCATATAATATCAAGGTTTTTAGTACGGACAGACCCAGGAATTTTTGGGGATTTGCCCCAAAATCAGATTGGTTTTGCAGTTTTTATTGCGTTTGATAGCTAAAATAACATAATTTTGTTTTTTTTACCCAGTTTTCGAATGCCTTGCTTTTGTGAAGGTAGAATTTATGATCCATTCCACGACTTTCTGACTAGTTGTACCTAGAACTGTTAGCTTTATATTACACTAGACACCTAAAATAAGATCGAGATCCGAAGACCTTCAAAAATGAACCAAATCCTTTTCAGACCGAGTTGTATGGCCTGAAGTGGAAGCGATTTTCCACGCCGAATGGGTACACATACAGTTCGGACATTGACGACGACCCGATTATTCGTGCCTTTCGGGAATGCGTCGAAAACAATCTTCATGCTGCCTGGAGAAGGCGGAGACCCGAGCAGGAGCCAGGGAATGTTCCACTCAAAGCTGACTGCCCAAAGGAACTATTCGTGTTCTGGTTTGCGGCCGATGAGCCGCCACTTCTTCAGAAATTCGTTGATGATGGCCTTGTCTGTAAGTTTTTGAATTTTTTTGTTTTTCTTGATGTTTAGGTTGATGAAGGTGATCAACAGGGGGACCTGAAAGATTAGATAGAGGGTTGTGAACCTATTAGAAAAAGAATTAAGTTGTTGGAGGTTCGAAATTTGGAAAATTTTCGAATTTTACCTTGTCTTAGGTACCCATGGAAAGTTTTGTCTTTTTCCGAAAATTTTTCGTTTGTAAATAGAAGGTTGAAGGTTAAAATACGTCTTCTAGATCTTGGTTGAGCTTTAAAAATTAAATTTGACCCACAAAGTTTAATATTTTTTGAGCTTTCATCGATACATTGTTTATCATGGATAATATTTGAAATCTCCTAAAAGCAATCTTTTTTAACGCCCGATCTTTTTCAGTAGTTTCCGAGGTTGACCCACTTGATCCAACAATCAAATACGAGACCAGAATCCTCTTCTACAAAGCGTTCCATTACCTGTTCGAACGGAATTTGTGGAGATCCGGCTATGTGAAGCTGGGGAAATGGTTTGTTCGCCCGTTGGAAGATGGTCATGCCACGAATACGGCTGCTCCAAGTCATGTTCATGCCTTCCACGCCAATTTCCAATGTCTTGGCGAGACGAATGTCTGCATGTTGGTCAAAGTTCAGCGGCAAGATCCGATTTTGCGCATGTCCAAGAGAGTTTTGGCTTTGAATCGTCGGCTGGCGGTGATTCTTGGGCCATGGTCGATACGGGCGAGTCTTTTGCCAGATCAACCCTTCTTCGATTACGGGAACAAGAAACCGGACGTCGGGAAATTGGAGGAAGTCCAACAATTAGCCGCGAAACAGTTCGAACAATGGTCGAAAATGTTCCCGTCCCCGGAGGGTAAGTTCATTTTTTTTTGTTTGTTTATGTTTTTAGTGCCTCTAGAAGAACCACGAATACGTTTGATTACTATAACATGAAGATCAATATATTTTTTGACTAATTTTTATATTGTTTTAGATGAAGAACCCATGGATTCCTCAAAACCCCCTAAAAAAGAGGCCAACGATATTCCCAAATTTTTGCTGGTCGAAATTCACAATCAACGACTACTATGTCCATCGTATTTGGTTACGATTCTGGCCAGTGAACTGGACACAATTCAAAATTCGTCGACAAAAGAAAATCGACGGGTGGAGGATGATGATGAAGAAGATTTAGGCCTGAAATCGAACAGTGTGATTGCTCAACTCGACAGGAAGAGCAAAAGATTGGCTACGGTCCAAGCTACTGAGGCTTACAGTAAGATTTTTAATATTTTTTTTTTGGTTTTTAGGTGGAATTTTTTCAAAGTGAAAGTATTTTTGATTGATTTTTGTGACGAATGCTGTTGGAGAAGATATAATATGCTTTATGAAGAATTTTGAAAGAGAGATTTGGTCTGTACCTACCTCCATTTAGTTAAAAATTTTGGTTTTTTACAAAAACCATAAGAATTTTTACCTACAATAATATAAATTTGTCTAAAAAAGATGTTGGAAATTCCTGGAGACTATGTAATATTGATGTATTTGGCCTTTAAATTAATTTTAAACAGTAAAATCAAAAAAAAAAAAATTTTTTTAATTTGGTTAAGTTTTTTTATTTTTCAGTTCCAAACGCCCTCCGACACAACCGAAAAAGCTATGCGGGAGTTCGGATTGCATCCAAAACGTTTGAAGACGCCTGTATTAACCCCAAACCCCGCCCACCCAACCCTTCGCCGATGATGATCCAAACCCAAGAAGATCATCGCTGGAATGTGACGGACTATGTGCCAAAGAACTTTTGCTACTGCAAATTCTGCAATCAAAACAGTGGAAATGAAGGTGAATTTTTGGATTTTTTTGATTTCTTTTGATTTTTAGGGAAGATCTTGATGTAGAAAATAAAAATTTGGTTGTTATGGAAGGTCCTTGTAGTGGATAGACTTAGTTTTGACTCTGAAATTCTGAAATTTGACCGTATTTTAGCTATTTTAGCTCGATTTTAGTGGTTCCCAAGATTTTTAAGCGATTTTTTTATTTAAAAATTTTTGATTTTTTTTTTTGAAATTTAAATTTTTTTTGATCTCTAAAACAGTTTTTATTTTTTTATTCCGTATTTCAGCCAACCCCCAACCTTCCTCCGCGAAGGATCGCTTCGTTTTCCATCACTGTAAACCCTCGGCACCTCGCGCCCGACCTTCCCGCAACCCCTACAAAAAGGACCTTGCCGAGTTTGCGGGCCTGAAAAACGTGATCCAAGACCTTCTGAATGAAGAACCATCCACGTCGGAAGCCAAACCACCCATCCATCCACCGAAACGCCTGACCAATCGACTGGACATTGATGGGTATCAAAACGACCGAGTTCAAGTTGTGGATCAATACATGAGCACCCTGTTTGCAAATGATGTCAAAGACGTGTCAAGTCAAGACCCAGTGAAACCGTTCAGCCCTGTGACAAATCTGAAGACTCAAGTCCCCGCCGAAATTGAGTAGGTTTATATTGTAGTAGGCAGAAGAGAGAAAAATTTGAAAAAATTAGAGAAATTGATGAAAATGATGATAAAAAGGGGTTGGAAATTGTAGTTAGAAGAGATACAGGTATGTTTTGAGAAAGTTGTTGCAGTAGTTTTTGGTATTTTATCACAAAAAAATTTTTTTTGTAAAATTTTTTTGAGTTTTTAAAAAGTTTGAAAAATGGTTGGGGATGGTAAAATACGAGGTGCATACCAATTTGCCAAGTATTTTTAAGCGGTAGTTTTTGGTATTTTATCAAAAAATTTTATAAAAAAAATTTTTTTGAGCTCTTGAAAATTTTGGAAAATGCTGGAAGATGGTAAAATACGAGGTCCACATTTGTTTGAAAAAGTATTTTTATGAACTTAAATATCTGATTTTTGAATTCCGACCATTTTTGACCATTTTCAGACACGACAAGTACCGAACATACAGCTATCATTATCATCCAATGAAACGAGACATGGTGAACAAAGAATCCTATCACAGAGAGGGCGCACAACGCCCTAAGGGCCCCACAATCAAAGACTCCACTTCTCAGACCCAAACCTCCACTCAGATTGCAAGCACCTCGAGTTCAACATCTCAAGACGCCCAAAAAGTAGTGGAAGAAAAAGAGAATCGACATGAATGGCTGGGCCAACTGGGCCATGTCCTGAAAAAGCGCAAGAAAACGGCACTACGTCAGAACTTGACCAAGAAAGAGGATCAGGCCCAAAACACGATCCGTGAGATGAACGGAGACGAAGAAATTTACCGGCCCGGCTCCGCCCCCGATCTCGGAAAAGTCTTGAGTTACCGGAAGCGCACCAAGCGGAGTACTTCGACAAGCCCCGTGAGAAATTATGACCCCCTCCATGTGTGCGTACACGTGAACAGCGAACAAACGGAAATGTTCGTGAACGACGAATTTGTCAACGACACCGTCAAGGAGGAACACCAAAAAACAGGTGATAAACGCGACGGTAAGCCTCGCCAAGAGGAGTGCTGAGGTTGTGCGGGCACGGGGATAGTTGTTTTAGGGATTTTTGTATGAATTGCGCTTTGGATTTGACGGTTTGTCGGGAAAATCATGAGCAAAATATCGCATCGAAAGTCGGATCGCCGCGGAGAAAATGAATTGTGTCGTGGCAGAAGAAAATTGCTTTTCACTATCTAGCAACGTGATTGGCACAGCGATTTGTACTCATTACTTTCCCGACAGACTGATTATACAGTGGGACCTGATCCAGTGGCAAAAAACGTATCATTTTGCATCCGGGAAGTATTAAAAATGTGGTAAAATGCTTCTCTCTTAAAGTGAAAAAACTCCGCTCTTTTTGTGAGGAAAAGGGCGCGCCCTTCAAAACGGAGTTTTTTCACTTGGACAGGGAAGCATTTTGCCACATTTTGGACGCTTCCCGGATGCAAAATGGCACGTTTTTTGCCACTGGATCAGGTCCGCCACTGTATCAGTGTGACAGGAAAATAATTTGAAAATATCGCATCGAAAATCGCATCGCCGCCGAGAAAATGAATTGTGTCGCGGCGAAACCAAATTGCTTCTCACTTCATCAACGTGATCGGCACAGCGACTTGTACTCATTACGTTCCCGACAGACTGATTATACATTTGAATCTCGCTTCTACGGAGTTGGAGGACGAAATGACACGGAATTTCTTGTTCTCCCACGCCCTCAAGACAAAGTAAAAATAATTTTCAAACTGCTGAAGATTGCATCTTACAATCTATTTGGTTATATTACATTAATCATCGCAGTTTGAAAATTATATTTTACTTTGTCTTACGGGCATGGGAGAACAAAAAATTCTGTGGCATTTTGTCGTCCAACTCCGTAGAAGCGAGATTCGAATGTGTAATCAGTCTGTCGGGAAAGTAATGCGCACTATGACGGACCTGATCCAGTCGCAAAAAACGTTCCATTTTGCATCCGGGAAGTATCAAAAAAATGTGGCAAAATGCTTCCCTCTCCAACTAAGCAATTCTGTTTTCTAGGGCCCCTCACAAAAAGAGAGGCGTGCTGTTGAAATCGCAGTTTTTTCACTTGGAGAGGGAGGGATTTTGCTACATTTTTTGATACTTCCGGATGCAAAATGGCACATTTTTTGCCACTGGATCAGGTTCGTCACTATACGAGTCGCTGCGCCGATCCTGTTGCGGAAGTGAAAAGCAATTTGATTTTGCCGCGACACAATTCATTTTCTCGGCGGCGATGCGATTTTCGATGCGATATTTTGCTCATTATTTTCCCGACAGACTGATAAAAAATTCATTTTTTATAAATTTTTTGGCTGAAAAATATGTTGTAAACTGTTGCTATGTCGTGCAGTGCTCAAGTATTTTATAATAGAATAAATTTTTTAGGCCCTTCACCAACCCCCCTCATCGATGAATTCCGCCGCACTGTGATCGAAGACACTGACTTTGATGACCCGAAAACTCCCGGCTCAAAGGACGGCGAGTCCCACCTATTTTCGTCCCTAATCAACCCGGATCAGATCATCTCTCCGCCCGCGAGCAACGAGAGAGTCGAAAATATCGCACTGCCCGGACAAACCCAAAGCCAAATCAGTCAATTGCCCGCGCAAAGCGTGGTGCAAGCCCAGAATTTGAACGAGAGCTTGTTTCTACACACATCTATGTGGAATACGGTAGGTTTGAAGGGGATTTTTGCGGGTTTCCGGGCAGTTTGGGATGTTTTTTAGGCAATTTTGGAAAATTTTTGCAATTTTTTGAAAAAATTTTGTTTTTTTTTGCATTTTTAATGGAAAATTGGGGCCTAAGATTTTTATCGTACCATCTACCGTCGTATTTTACATTTGATTTTTTATTTTTTTTATATGGTGCCATTTTATACGAAAAATTTTTTTTCATAAAAAATCGTATTTTAGGTGAATGTGGCCGCCAACCAAGTGAATGACAACCTCTCCGTCATCTATCCCACCCCACCCACCCCCATGCAACAGTTTAGCCCATTAAATTTGGCCTCGGCCGAAGAATCGGCCGGCAAAAAAATCCGCCCCGAGACCCCGAAAATCACCGGAAAAGTGGAAATCTTAAACCCGTATCGGCACAAGGATGCGGTTTATATGGACCTGGATCATGTGTTCGAATTCACCCATCAACGAGAGGCATTTTCAACGGAGTTGGAGGCATTTGAAGGGAATTTTTCAAAGAAAAAAGTCAAATCCGAGCCTTCGATTCGAAGATTCACGAAGAAAACGGTTCAGAAAAGACAGTTGAGGCCTAAAATACGCGTCTCACCGCAGTTTGTGGCATTGCAAAGGGAAAAACTTGGTCTAAACAGACGAATTCCAATTGTCGAACAGGTAAATTTAAGATTTTTTTTGGGATTTTGATTTTTTTCGGGAATTCAAAGAGGTTTTGAGGGGTTTTTTTTGGGTTGATTGAGGATTTGTAAGCTATATGATGAGATTTTAGACTAAAATTTGGAGATTTGGAAGGGAAAATTATATTACTTTAGGTAGAGTATATTGATGGGGAAAGTAAAAAATTTGAGAAAATTTTGATATTATTTGTCTCGAATTTCGTTTTTCATCGTATTTTAAAGCTTTTATTGGGTTGAGTTGCGGAAAAAGCCTGTTATTCGGCTATTTCGTGTGAAGCTAGGGCGCAGGCTGCCAAAATTTATTTTTGTAAATCCATTATATTTGAGCCAGTTGATCAGATTTTGAACATCTGAAGATAATGTTAGAGTGCTTTTGATTGCTATAAAGATGCTATAGAGATTTTTGAGAAAAGCTGGGGCGCAGGCTGCCAAAAATTTTTTTTGGAAAACCTCGATTTTTGACAATTTTTTGTGATAAATTAAATGTAGATAAAATGACGAATGCCCTGTAATTTTCTCTTCTTCTAGGACCCTCAAAAAATGGCCACACTAGCCGTGGATCTCCGCTCCCGCAACGGGTACGTCAAATCCTACGGGTTGAACGTCCTGCACACGATGAAAATGCTGAAAGCGATGAAGAAGAAGGAACTGGAGGCCCGCCGTCCGCAGCACCAACTCCAGCCCCGCCAGCCGCCGCAACCCGCCCAACGGCCCGCCTACCCCGCCCAGTTCGGGCCTCCTCCCATGCTCCGCCCCCAATTCCCCGCCATGCCCAATCAGATGAACCAAATGTACGGGCAAATGCCGCCGAACCAAATTGGAATGCAGCCGCATATGGCGGGCCAAATGCCCAACCAAATGGTCAACATGGGCAACATGCCCAATATGCCCGGCGCCGCCCCGCAATATGCCCAAAACGCCGTGGGTGGCCAATATGCCCAAATGAACCCAAATCAGCATCCAGGACACGCCTACATGATGCAGCAGCAAATGATGCGCCAAAACCAACGATATCCGAACGTGAATTACTTCACGAACAGCCCCAGTCCGGCCGGAAGTATGAACTCCAACCCGCAATCGGTCCAAAATGCAGCTCAGCAGCCCAACTCCCATCTGTCGGCGGGCCCAGGCCCGAGCCCATTCGGCTCGCCCAACAATATCCCCGGATCGACCGGAATCTCCGCCCCACCCCCGAATGCCATGCCCGGAAGCACGCAAAACCACATGCCCGGCTCGGTAGGCCCCCACAATGGCATGCCCGGCTCGGTGGGCCCACAGAATGCCATGCCCGGCTCAGTGGGACCTCCCCAAAACACCATGCCCGGCTCAGTCGGACCGTCTCAAAACATGCCCGGATCCGCTCAAAATCTCATGCCCAACTCGGTAGGCCCCCCATCGGCTCGAGGACCCGGCAGCGTCCCAGTTGGCCCACCAATTATCGACCGGTCAATAATGTCGGTCGAAAAACACCCAGCCCTTGAGATGGCCAAAGACGAAGCCTTAGGCTATCTGAACAACAAACGACTCAGAACTGTGGCCACCGGCATGCAGGACACGATTTTGGACCTGTTTTATGACAGCGTTTTTGATGCATGCCCCATTTGCTCGTGCAATGTGAATATCCGAACGACGGATCTAGGTATTTACATACAAGCACCCGCCGAAATCGCCATTGTGGACCAGATCAACTCCCGCAGAGAGCAGGACCCAAGCTATAGGCCGGACTTTTGGAGCGGCCTCAAAAAGTCCAGCACTTGGTGTGGATGCGGCTTTAGCGCGGTTAGGTATAGAATCTTGGCCGCAGGAGCGCAATGCTTGTTCCCTGATGATCTCAGGTGAGTTGTGGGGGAATAGAATGAGGTTTTATTTGAATGGAACGGATAAAATACGAGTTTTGGGGAGAGGAAAGTATGTGGATAAATTGTAAGGCATTTTACACTAAAATTTATCCGCAAATTTTCGGCAACTTTTTTTTCTCCTCAAAAAAATAATGTTTTAAAATTTGTTTCAATACTAGTCCGTTTGCAAAGTCGCTGGTGTGATTTTTGGCGTTTGCACTGTGCGAAAATAGAGGTTTAATTTGCACTGTGCAATTTGTTGCTTTTTGCACCGTGCAATAAGCTTTTTTGGGCTGTCGCTCCAGAGTTTTTTGCACAGTACAAACGCTAAAAATTACTCCAGCGACTTTGCGAATGGACTAGTATTGAAAGAAATTTTAAAAAGAATTTTTTGGGGAGAAAAAAAAGTTGACGAAAATTTGTGGATAAATTTTAGTGTAAAATGCATTAGAATTTATCCATAAATTTTCGGCTTTTTTATTTGTTAGAAATTTGGTAATTGTTGTAAAATACGAGCGTCTAATTTTTTGTTATTGAAATTTTTGAAATAATCTGTTAGGATTTTCGAAGATTTTTTGCATTTTTTATGTTGGTCGATTTAAAAATTTCCAATTTTGAAATAAAAATTTCAATTTTCAGAGAAGCCTTTAACATTCATCAAGTTTCCAAAAGCATCAAGCACCCTTGGCTAGCCAAAGCGCGCCTCCACGCAATGACTGACATCCTCAGATTCATGTCCACCACATATTCGCTCAACCGAATGGCCATTTCCACCTATTATGTGGGCGATTTGCCCGATACGTTCGCGAAATTGGATGGGCATTACTCTTCAACCGATAGCCCATATATTGTCTCGAAGGCCGAAGGAGAGGAGTTTGATTTGGCCGTCAAAACTTTGCTTGGATTAGACCCCAAAGGAAAAATCCCACTGTTCCATCCGTGGGGATTGAGTGTAAGTGTGTGAAAAAATGTTTGGAGGTGAAAAAAAAGGATTTTTAAGGGTGGAAATTTAGTTTTGGAGCTTTAAAAAAAAAGTTTTTTGAAAATTTGGGTAACAATTTTAAAAATTTTTTTGATTTTTTTTCTGGATTTAAATGATTTTTTGACTATTTTTGATGGATTATGGCTCAAAAATCAATTGATTTTGAGGCACAGGGAATAAACATTTCGTATTTTACATATTTAAAAAATTTTTTTTGAAAATTTGGGTAATAATTTTAAAAAATTTTTTGATTTTTCTCTGGATTTTAATGATTTTTGACTATTTTTGAATGAGTTTGGCTCAAAAATCAATTGATTTTGGAGTAAAGGGAATAAACATTCCGTATTTTACATATTTAAAAAAAATTTTTTTTTGATCTTTTTTGCTTCTAAAATTTCAAAAAAATGTTGATTTTAGAATTTTAACTAACATTTTCCCCACTTTCAGATTGCCCAAGGCGTGAAAGAACCCAAAGACGACGAATATATGTCCATAATTCGCGATATCCTCCCTGTTCTTGAGACCTCGATCAAACAAATACGTGGCGCCGAACTCAACACCCGCGGAAATTTGGTGGAAGGCCCTCTAACGTGGCGCCAGTTCCATAAAAAGGCCATAAAATCGGGCCAGGACGACGAGACCTACAAAGCCGAACAAATCCCTCAAGTTTTGGTGGCCGCAGGTCAAGACGCGATCGCCACCAACCCACAACTGGTCCATATGTGGGAGAAACTGTCCATGGCACCGTATGATCAGCCCAAGGACGTACTTTACTTGGCCATTGTACCGGATGGAAATGTTTTGGCGGATAAGTGTAAAGTGAGTAAAAATTTGTTGAAATTTGGAAATTTTTGGGATGAAATTTGAAGTAGAGGAATGGTATTGATAAAAGAAACTAATTTTGACTGGTTTAGAGAAATTTGGAATACAAAAATGGTAATTTTGGAATGTTTTCGGAGAAAAAGTAAAAGACAAAAGTTTGTGGATAATTTCCAAGCCATTTTGCACTAGAATTTATCCATAAATTTTCGTCAATTTTTTTTTGATAAAATTGTGTGAAATAGACAACAAAAATGCTTACTAGATGTCTAGAATAAGCTAAGAGGCAACTACAAAAGGTCTTTTGAATGTTTGAACAGGGTTTTAAAAAAAAAATTTTTTTTTTTAATTTTGTTTTTTGTAAAATTTTATCTAATTTTGAGATAAAAAGGCTAATAAATTTCACTTTTAGGTCTATCTGGAGGAACTTTCGTCGGTCTACGAGAAATGCCGCTTCGGGCGTCATCTGAAAGTCAACGTGAAAGAGCCGAACTGCCAGCTGAAAGACGGCATCTTCAAAATCATCGGAACAAAACCCCCAAGTGCCGAGAAATCCCAACCGAATCTCAACGAAGCCGAACTGAAACATGTGGCCAAAATGCAGACCTATGTTGAGAACGCGGCCCAGAGCGTGAAGTCATTTTTACAACAAAATGATTTTATTTTTGAGAGAAAGTCATATTTCGAACACTTGGTTCGGGATGGGCTGCAGCCCCATTACACCAGTTTGGCCTCGAATCCCGACAGTCAGAATATGCCACCTCCGCCGGCCCCGCAAATCGTTCAAAGCCCGTCTTCAGTGCTGTCGAATACATCAGGTAAAGTAATGTCGAAATTGAATGCCTTAGGGGATGAGATTGAAAAATAGAGGTAGTTTGGAGATAACAAGACGGTTTAGTTCAGTTTTTTTCAATCCAGAATATTGGAATTTGAGGTTTTTTCTCTGAGAGAAACACTTGACCCAAGTCTTGGAAAATGGTCAACTCTTTCTCTAAAGTGGATGCATTAGTGGAAAAGCAGTTGTAATACGAGAGTTTAATCTCCTTTAGGCTGTAATTTTTAGTTCGTAATGTAACAAAGTCGCAGAGAAACACTTGACTCAAGATTAAAAAACTTTTTTACTAATAAATTTTTGAAAAGGAAAATGAAAGTGTGTGAAATATAGCTGCGTTGAGCCTGTGAAGTCGTATTTTACACCGAGACAAACACTTGACCCAAATTTAATTTTTTGAGTCAACTTTTCCCCTCGATGAAAAAACGCATTTTTGCTCTTCAAAGGTTGTTTTATGATAATTGCTGCTTTCAGGACCCGCCTCCCAAGGTCTCCACAACCCAAACACCCCAAGCTATCAACAATCTCCCAATCTTTCTCTGGGCCCCCATTCAAACGACCCAATGCAGGACAGTATTCGAACGCCGGAGAACCCGGTCACCCCTTCGCAACACGAACAACAGAACCCCAACTCCGAACAAAACATCGATCGAAGTGTGGCGGAATTGATGAGTGAAGAACTACCACATCTTTTACCTCATATTATAGTAATCTATTTGGTAGGTTGTGCAAGATTTGTTGATGTATTAGTTATTTCGAAGGTGTTAGTGGATGTAATATAGAGTTTTTGGTCGGTAGGGGAGTTGGCAGAGGCTCATACACCAAAATTTTGGAATTTTTGGAAGGTTTTATCAAATTTGATACTTAAAATAATGTAAATTTTGTCTAAAATTATGATTTTTGTGCTTTTTTGAGTGCCATATTTTAGAAGGTGACCAGATATGGGGCTATCATGCTGTTGAGAGCTTTTTTGGTAAACTTTTAGGGGCATGAAGAAGCTAGTTTGACCTTATGTTATGTTAGATGACTATTTTTTTTAAATTCGAAAAACTGGTCGAATCAATTGTCTTTTTAGAAAGTTTAGTGGTTCATCGACTTGTAAATTTCTTCTGGCAACATTTTCTGAGTATCTGTGGTATATCTCGACCTTATTTTAAGGTGAAAATCAAAAATTTCAAAATTTTTGATCAAAAAACTGAAATTATTTTAAAATCTTAATTTTTCAGGTGGATCCATTCTCACTCGGCTCGGAAGCCGTCCCAAAGACCTTCAGATATGGGAATATGTTCCTAGTCCACATGATGGAAAGCATTATGAGAGGAATTCGGCCAGAACGAAGACCTCAATTCCAAATCGAAGTCGTCAATGCCCAGACCATCCTGGACTACACCGGAGTCGCGGCAAACCCATTGAGAGAGGATAAACAGGTCTTGGAACCAGGTAAGGGCAAAAAGATTGAAGGATTTTGGGGGAAATTGGCATGAATTGTATTGTTTTAGGTGAAAATTGATGATTTTGGGGAATTTCTTGTTTTTTGAAAAGTTCTTGGGGAAATAAGGGAAAATTAGCAGAGATTGTAGAATGAAGTAGTATTTGACTATTGGCAATGTATTTGAGCAAGAAATTTATTCGAATTATATTGTTTTAGGTAAAAATTTATGCTTTCTTGCGTAAAATTTATAATTTTGGATGTTTTTTGGGGAAGTGAAAGTTTGACATTGCAAAATAGGTCATAAAGTGGGCTTGCAGTAATTTTTTGACATTTTGAAAAATAATTTTTATAAAAATTTTCGTTTCAGTTGAAGTAATCAACCGCGAAAAACTCACCGCCCACGACATTCTCCGTCGGCAGGCGTTTTCGGTCTATTCCCAGACCCGAATCCTGGTCCCAGAGAACGCCCGGACCGCCCTCTGCCAGTCGATGACGCGGTTCGGACCGGCCGCCCAAATGACCGACATCATCGACGGGATCCGCAACCGAAAAGAGGAGATCTACTTCAAATTGGCGTGCCAACCCTACGTCCTGGCCCCCAAACACTCGATCGGGTTCCAAAACTCGGCCAACAAGTTCTGTCTGATCAACCCCGAGGAGCGAGTGCTGTTCGTGTCGTATTGCCTGGTAGGCGACGATATCTTGATCGCATCCTGCACCGACCAATACGGACATTTGCATGATACGACGCTGATTAATTTGCATAATAACCCCCAGCCGGGATTCCGCCTCAAACAACGGCTGATTTCCCTCGGAATCCAAAGACTATGGCTGTTCATACAGAGCGTGCTAGTCATGGACACCAAGAACTGGCGAGTCGTGATTTGCAAAGTCGGCAAGATCGGGCATGGCGAGTTTAGAGGTAAGGGCTTGAGATTGTTATTTCGGCCGTAATTAAGATTAAAAATCCAAAATTTAGACAAAAAATTATCAAAATACCAAAAAATTTCAATTTTTATGGGAAAACATCGAAAAATCCAAAAAAATATGAATGCAAGATCTGTGATGCTTTACTGCAGCTAGATACCCCCTGTAATTCCTTTAGAGACGATTTTTCAATCTGAATTTTATGTAAAAATCACAGCTTTCCATCATAAACCCCCTAAAATTGCCAAAACCCCGGAAGAAAGTAAAAAATCTTTATTTTATCCTTTCGAATTGGAGTCTACAGTGGCGGACCTGATCCAGTAGCAAAAAAACGTACCGTTTTGCATCCGGAAATTATCAAAAATCCAGTAAAATACCTCCCTCTCCAAGTTAAAGACCTCGATTTTGAAGACGCGCTCTTTTCCTCATAAAAAGGGCGCGCTTTTGAAACCGGAGACATTTTACTTGGAGAGGAAGGCATTTACTGCATTTTTGATACTTCCCGGAGGCAAAATGGTACGTTTTTTGCCACTGGATCAGGTCTACCAATGTAGGCTCCGATTGGAAAGGATAAAATAAAGATTTTTTACTTTCTTCCGGGGTTTTAGCGATTTTAGGGGGTTTATGATGGAAAGCTGTGATTTTTACATAAAATTCAGATTGAAAAATGATCTCTAGAGGAATTACAGGGGGATCTAGGTGCAGTAAAGCATCATCGATTTTGCATTCCTATTTTTTTGCGATTTTTTCGATGCTTTCCAAAAAAATTATAACTTTTTTGGAATTTTGATATAATTTTTTGACTAAAATTCGGATTTTTAATCGTAAATACGGTCGAAATAAATGCTTGCTATACCTTTCCCATCTCTGACTCGAATATTTTCAGCCTGGTCCCACGTTTTGTCCAAGAAAAGTCTTCGAAATTACAACAGCAATTTCCGAGTTCGCGGCGAAAAAGACGTCACGATGACAATGCCCACATGCCGAGCTTGTGCCGTCTCAAAAGACTCCTCGGAAGGACCGGTCATCATGTCCGCATGCCTAATTTCAATGGAATCCGAGCCATTCTTACGCATTTTCCCGGCCTTTTCCCAACTTTCGGAGCAAAAATCCCGCTCGAATTCGAAGAACAACAACCTGTTGACGTTGTTGGAGGACACAGCGATCACTCACATTATAACGTTCCCGACCTCGCCGGACATTTCGACGGATCCACAGGCGGGACAACAACAGGATGACAATGATCCGTTCAATTTTGGAATCGATGGGATTGAAAATGATGATGAAGGCCTGACTGAAGGTCTCATCGCTGACATGGAGATCGGAGAAGAACAAGGTGAGGATTTGAGGGGAATTTTGAGACGGTTTTAGCGGAATTTTGAGGGTTTTTTGAACGAAATTTTCCAATTTTTTTAAATTTTTATGGGCAATTTTGATGATTTTTTTCTAAATTTTTATTTGAAAATTGTTTGTAGAAATCCGCTACATGTTAGAATATGCTGTAGGCCCCCTTTCTACTAAGATTTTACTACCATATTTTAGGTTATTTTACTAATCTAGTCCAATTTTTGAAAAATTTTTCAAAAATTTTCATTTTTTTTTTTTAAATTGCCATTTATGACTCGTATATGACCTCGAAAATAATATACAGTATCCTCGTACTATTCTCAGTGTAATTTATAATCTTTGTTTTTTTTCCAGAATTAACAATTGATCATCAGCCGATGGCGACCGGCTACATGGTTTCGACCGCACCGGCCACCGAACTCCCAGACTGGTTCTGGAACACCTGCCCGAACGCGAAACGCCATTTGCCGGTGCATTTGAGGACGGCGCTTCACATAAATTCATCCAATCTTCAGGAAGATATCATGAATTATGGCCAAAAAAGCGGCGGAAACGAGACCTCGCATCCGCTGGACGAGAGTGCAACCGACGCTATTTTGAGGTGAGAATTTTTGCATGCTTTTGAATTTTTATTAGTGTAAAATACGCAAACATTTGTTTTTGGAGAGAATTTTTCAAAAGTTTTCGTTTTTTGGTCCCACCACGAAAACTTGAGGAACCACGAAAACTTCAACATGCTCCAAAATTGGAGTAAATATAATTTTTTTACACTTTTTTTGTAAAATACGAGTTGTCGAGATACATTTCCAGGTCCCACCACGAAAACCCTGAGAATCAGGGAAACCTCAAAAACCCATGTTTTAATGACTAAAAATTGTAAATTTTAGGTACGTCATGCAAATGCACAACTCCCTCTCCTGGCTGAACGTGGATTTGGGGTCGGGCGCCCGCATTTCCTGCCTCCCCGTCCACATCCAATGCCTGTTCCGTCTCTACAACAACGTCGAACAGTGCATTCTCAACTAATTAGAGTACAAAAAAATCTTGTTGTTTTACTTAACGCATATTTATATAACTTTGTAATACTTTCTTTTCAACTAGCTGTGATTTTGATTAGAAATTTTATAGCGAATGCCCAGAAAATATGTCACGATGACGGGTCTTTTTGAAAAATTATTTTTGGTCAACTCGACCGGTTTTATATTGCTATTGGTCTAAACTGTTGATTTATATCGAAATTTTAACTATTTATTTTAACCCATTTTTGGGTTGGCGAGTCGCGCCCTAGACTCATTTAGAAATTCGAAATTTGAATAGATTTTCGGTCAAAATAGGAGAAAATAAATAGCACAGAATTAATAAAACACTGTTTTGGGCTACAATACAACCATTGCGGACCTAAGTCATCAGTTTTACCACCCCCCAATACCTATCATCTACCTACTTGACTATGTCTCTCAAAACATCTCTCCTCTTGTGTATAACGTGTCGCTTTCATGCAGGCCCTTGTTTATTTTATTTTTTACTTGATTGTTTCTTCTCTTCACTACGGGTATTTTACGTATAACGGTAACGTATTTATATGAATTTCATGTTGAATAATATTTATGTGTAAATTATGAATGTAATAAGTAACCAAACCCACACAAAAATGACTAATAAATTTGTGAGATTTTTGTACCGTCGGATTATACAGGGTGGTCCAGCTAAGTTCGCGGATGTAAAATGCTTATAACTTTTTATAAGATTGTTCAATTTTTATGAGCAATAGCTCATTTTATTCCTTGGTAGTTGCCATTTTGTTTAAAAAAAAGATCATTAAAAATGGTCAATCCTACGTCGAATTATGACCCTTCAAAGTCAAACATGCTTTTTCACGTAAATTTTTAAAAAAATTTAATTTTCAAAAATTTTTGAATTGCGGTGTCACCGCTCGCTGTTACCGGGAAATGATGGTGAACAGAGCGATCCCTGCTATGCAAAACCGGCCCAATTTTGCCAGTCTTGTTTTTCAACAAGACGGCGCGCCACCTCATTTTGCTATAGCGGTCCGTCAACTCCTTGACCAGGTTTTTCCAGGTCGTTGGATGGGCCGGGGATCTGCGCGGCAACCAGCTCCAATTGCTTGGCCCCCGCGTTCACCTGATCTAACTCCGCTAGATTTCTCCAATTGGGGGTTCTTAAAACAGCGGATTTTCATCAAGGATTGGCGCCCAAAGACGTGGAATTGAAGCGCGTAATCGAAGAAGAGGTGAAACGAGTTCGCCAGGATGAACAAATGAGGCGCCAAATTATGGAAGAATACCGAAGACTGGCAAAATTGGGCCAATTTTGCATAGCTGGGATCGCTCTGTTCACCATCATTTCCCGGTAACAGCGAGCGGTGACACCGCAATTCAAAAATTTTTGAAAATTAAATTTTTTTAAAAATTTACGTGAAAAAGCATGTTTGACTTTGAAGGGTCATAACTCGACGTAGGAGTGATCATTTTTAATGATCTTTTTTTTAAACAAAATGGCAACTACTAAGGAATAAAACGAGCTATTGCTCATAAAAATTGAACAATCTTATAAAAAGTTATAAGCATTTTACATCCGCGAACTTAGCTGGACCACCCTGTATTGTATTCCACGGCAATTGGGGTAGATTATGCGGATCTTTACCAAGGTTTTATTCCCGCAGCCTGCGCCCGAATATATTTTGAAAATCTGTGAAATATAAAGTAAAATAAGTTTTTATACAATCTAACTATAAAAATATTGAAATCTGATAAATATTTTCGACCAGTTTTTACAGCAACATGGCTGATCTAACTTTTTGGGCCACCTCGTCTCCAGCCAACAGCTGAACGATTTTAAGCGCGAAGTCAAACGCGGTACCAGGTCCACGACTGGTCACAACCGACTTGTAGACCACTACACGATCCTCTGAATACTGGTAACCTGAAAAAATCCACCATTTCGAATTCTGTCAATCTTATGTTAACTTGATAACCACTAGAATATCAACTTACCACCCTCCTTCAATCGATCTCCAAAACTTGGATACGAAGTGAGAACGCCTCCTTTGGCAATACCATGGGCCTTGAATGCAATTGGAGCAGCACAAATAGCGGCCACAATCTTGCCAGCAGCTTCATGGCGACGCAAGACCTCTCCGACGGTCGCATCCTAAACACAAAAGTCAAAAAGATATCGAAAAACTCACCGCAGCAAGATTATCACTTCCCGGCTGACCTCCTGGAAGAATCACCGCATCGAATTCGGTGTCTTTTACCTCATTTAGCAATTTATCCACATTGATCTTGAGCTTTCTGGCCAATTCAATCGTTGGTTTGTTTTGGAGAGAGGCGATTGTCACCTAAAAATAATTGATTTATCCCTGTGTATCTCCTATTACATTTTTCTAGGGTATATTTTGGTAAAAATTGCAGTTTTGGAGCATTTTTCTACATTATCCGTCACAAAATCGTAAGGTGATGAAAAATCTAGAATAATGATAGAATTTTGGGGTCAAAACTAAGCAAACTACATATCAAAAGGATCAAAAAAAGCGGCTCTTGGTACTCAAACTGGTTTTAAGAAGGTCAGCTTCTATATTTCGACCAAATTCTTCGAAACATTATCTGCTCCATGGCAACCTAAAACCAAAACAAAAACTATGAAAAAACTTACTTCAACATTCGCCCGCCGCAGCACATCGCTGACCACAGTTAGTTCGATGTCCTCGCTTCCATCAGAAGCAATGATCAAAGCCGTTTTCGACATTGTTTTAGGGAAATCTGCCATTTCAAGCAAGTTTAATTAGAAAACAATACGAAAAGCAGAAACAAAACGCCCTCGCGCAGGACCGATTGAAAAAGACCACGAGAAGCCGCTGCGATCGGTATCACAGGCTTTTGCTCGGTCGGAACGTCCCCGCGACCTTGCGGATCAGATAAGAGACCAAAAAACAAAAATAGTGCAAGACACAGGCTAGATCAATAAATCTTCGACTGCAAAAGTTGCTCCCTACGTTGCAGAAACTACAGGGTCTTATACAAAAAATTTCTGGAAGATAAGGCAAGAAATTTTGGATTCATTTGACATCTCCGATGTTAACCAATATGGAAAAACAAAAATTTGTGGAAATCTACGCTTGATAAGACCTCTAAAATAAAAACAACACGCTTTTCGCTCGCTTCTGGCATCAGGCAGGCACGTTTCAGCGAGTTTTCCAAAAGTTTCTCGAAAACAAAAACAATATGGAAGACTTGACTCATGTGTGTCAACTGTCTCTCTAACGATGAAATATGCAAATTTGCCGCCGTAAAGTTGGCGAACGGATTTTGGTGACAAACAAAGAGCATTTGAGACCTTTTTCCGTTTCAAGTCGCGATGCCAAAGGGTAAGGACTTCAAAATTATATTACACTTGACATAAGATAGGACGATGGTAACTTCTGGGTTGGGCTGGTGGTTTTTTTGTTTCACGGAGGTTTCAGTGAGACCACTTAGCTTCTAGATGTCGAATATTATCGAGATTACTCTCCAGCAGCTTCTACAGCAAAGTAGAGAAACAGTTGACACATGCGTCAACTTTTTCTCTCATTGAAAACGTATTAGAATCCGATTGATATTGAGTTCTATAGAAAGTCAATGGCGTAGTAAATACTAAAATTATTTATTAAAAATTTATTCTGACCAGAAAATTTAACACAACTCAAGTGAAAATATTGGATATGTAAGTACAATGTTCATAATCTTTTTTTTCGTTTCGATTAATCACTGGCACACAAAAGACCCGTATAAGCGTTGAATAGACAAAATTCACAATCGAATTACGATACCGGTAAAAAGTATTGGAAGGAAATGTTTTTAAATGCCCTGAATACCGCAGGAAATGGACGGATATGTGACTATAACTGAGTAATACTAGTAAATTTTCGTTATGAAATACTGAGAAAGGCACAAGAATGAAATATATGACAATTTATAGCTTTTGGCTCTCAGATTTTTGATGCGGGACGACATTTGCTGAGAAATGAAAAAAAAACGAAAAATCTTTGGAAAAATCCGTATTTTAGCGGCCGAAAAGGTTTTTAAAAAATAGAAAAATACGATGTTGACCGATTTTAAGCCACAGGCGATGATTTGAAATCAAATTTGCCATGATTTAAGCTATTTTTGCAAAAATTTTGAGTCCCGCAACGAAAACATGAAAGGTCGCCAAAATGCAAACTAAATGGTTAAAATGAAGAGAGAAGGATCTAATGTACAATATTAAGTGTAATGGATGTGATATGTAAGGGATCTGTTGTGACATGGCGGGATATAGAGATGCTGTTACAATATAAGGCCACAAAATGATAAGATATGTAAGAAATCAGCAGAAAATGATATGAAAATCGGTTGGATATGATGTAAAATTAAACCTGAAAGCATTTAATATCACAAAAATCTAGTAGTTACTTTGATTTTGACTAAAAATTTTGAAAAAGTTGCAAAAAAGATGACGAAAATAAATGGCTGAAATTACAGTAAGATATTACCAAAAAACGTCGATTAAACTTTTTCCGAGCTCCCAGTGCTTCGTCGTTTCTTTTTCTTTTTCTCGAAACACTCGGTTATACAGTTCAACGGCGCTATAATACAATTTACAACTGGGATGACCACCTTGAACAGCAAGAAGTAAATCAGAAATATACAGACTAAAAATGCCCCCAAGTTGACGACCAGGTTGAGTCCATCCGTTACGGAATGGATGTCTTTGATCCAGGCTACGGGATTTAGCGACTGTAAGAAGCCATTGACAGTAAATTGGTTACATTCTTCGCAATATCCCGTCGGTTTGTTCCATTCGTTGTGAATTGTCTGGGTTTCCAAATCGAAGTGGACACTAGCGACGTTCCGGCAGATTTCGATGCCGTCTCCGTCATCCGGTCGAAGGCATACGGTGTGCTGCTGAAAAAAATTGTTTTTGAAAATTTTGGGTCTCACCACGAAAATATGAATTTAGTGGGAAGTGGATAAAAATCAATAAGTGAAATTTAGAGAAGACAGTATTTGGAGTAAAATACATGGTGATTCTTTTCATCGACAAATTTGAATTTATGTATTTTTCGGTCCCACCACGAAAGCCTTAATTAACGGAAAATTGGCCGAAATGAGAAAAAATGAAGATAGGGCTTTCTCAATAACTAATTTTTTGTCACAAAAAAATTTTTATCCAAAAACGCAAAATTTCAGGTCTCACCACGAAAACTTGAATTTATGGGAATTCGGCTAAAAATTGGTCAGCTGCGATGCTAATTGAAAACTAAGGTCACATATAGCATAAGTAACCATAATTTCGTTCTATAGAGTTAAATTTTTGTCACTAACTTTTAAAATCTGGGTCCCACCACGAAAACCTGAATTTTCTGGAAATTGAATAAAAACGGGTAGAATTAGATTATGATGAAATTTTAGGGTAAAATACGGCAACGGAGACAATATTCCCACTTTAAACCCTCAAAAATCTCAAAATATTGCACCTACCGTATTCGGTTCGTAAGGTTTGATCCTGATCAAAACGTGCTGTTCCTCCACCTCCGCCGCCGGCACTCTGATCGTAAAACTGTCGATGGTTGTCCCATAGCTATCGCTGACATGCCTCACATAGCCGTGAAGGATTCCCGTCGAGTTGTAGACACTTATATTCAACATGCTATTACTCAATTTATCGACCAAAATCAACGCCGAAAAGTCTTGAATGTTGCTGGCGTTGTGGATGAAATTCAAGGCCGTGTTGGGAGCCTTGGACACGAGGGAGATTTCGAGATTCGCTCCGTCGTTTTCCGTGACAACCGCGTGTCTTTCGGTATGGCCAAATAAGGTGGCGGTCTTGATCCAATTCAGCTGCTGATCCAGCGAGTCTGGCAGCGTGAATGAGGTGGACGAATTATCCGCCTGATTCACGTAAAAGTTGGCATCCAATATGCTCTGGTATCGCTGTTCCAGGCAGTTCTCGGCTTTGGCGCGATGGATCTTGTCCATCAAAACGAATCCGCCTTGCACTGTGCCGGCGCCCTCGGGCGAAACCCGGAACCACCCCAGTTTGTCGAAACTGTGCTCTGTGATCTCGTTCAGCGCCTGCTTCCGCAGTTGGCCATATTGGCCATGGCCGAGATTTTCGACAAAATACATGCCCGCCTCCAGCTGATTGGTCGATTTCCCCGACGACGCCACGCCCATTTCGAGGCTTCGGTCCGAGTCCAAGAACTGGATTTGTGTCCCCGAGTCCATTGTGACGCGGATGTTGCGCTTGTCCATCTCCTCCCAACGACCTTTGTCGTTCCACAAATAGGCGACGTATTCGAGGACGGCAAAAGTTGTGGGCGACTCCAGCTTCACGGCGGTGAAGGTGCGGTCTTGATAAGGCCGGAATTTGAGTTCGCAGCAGAGTTTGGGCTCTTCTGAGTGACCTAAAATACGAAAAAATGAAATTGACCAGATTTGAAATTTTATAAAAAATTTATCTTTTTTATTGTTAGAAAAAAGTTACAACTAAATATCATAGCCTTTAGGCATTCTTTAGATAGCAAATTTAATTTTTACCAATCAAATCTTTACGTTTGTTTGCTTTTTTGCTTACTTTTTGAATGAAGAAAATTTATGGATAATTTGTAGTGCAAATTGGCTTACGAAAAATCCATAAACTTTCGTCATTCTCACAGAATCAATTTTTCGCCAAAAAATCAAGTCTTTGTGTAACAAACTTTTATGAAATAAAATAAAATTTGCTACAGAAGGTATTAGCCGTATTGAATCGCGTATAAAGTCAACAAATTTAGATATTGATGCCAAAAAAATGACAAAAATTTATGAATTTTTGATAGGCTAATTTTGCCTTAATTTGTCTTGATTGATAATAAGAAGAGTATGCAGACAAACAAAACAATATTTCACCTACCTGTCGGGCATCCAACATTTGGCTGATCCGAGAAAAACGTCCGATAACAAGCCGTTGGTCGTCCACTGGAATCCCTCTCACCTCCACAGGTTCCAAAATTGTAATCCGACGCTTGACAGACCGCCGCGTCCGCTCGACACTCACAAATGCATTTTGTTTCCAGCTCAGGAATGGCGAACCGATATCTCTGCGTGACTGGATGATATTGTTCCAGACGCTCCAATGTTATCGTGTGCATCACATCCAGGTCGGCTAGACTGGCGTTGTGCGAGTCTGTTTTGCGAAAACAGACTGATTGGCCCACACTGAGACCAAGTTTGACTCTGGTTGTGTTGGAGGACTTTCCGTGCACTGAAAGAGAAAATCGATAAAATTTGTGACATTTCGTCCAATCGGATTTAATGAAATTTTTGGATTTTTTTGCAGTTGGAAGTAAGAGACGTCTATTTTCAGTCGAAAAATTGAATTTTATAAGAAACCTAAAAACCAATAATATTCGTGACATTTCGTCAAATCTTATAAAAACTCAAAAATTTAAAAAAATACAGCAAAAAATGAAGAACAAGGTCTAAATTCACAGTCAAAATAAAAAAATAAAATTTTCTGAACAAAATAAAAAACCAATAAAACTTGTGACATTTCGTCAAACTTTTCAAATCATTAAAAAAAATTGCAGAAACTTACAAAACGAGCTGCCGGCTGGTGTGATCAATGCCCTCGAGCAATGTGGAGGCTGAATGGGCCGTAGCTCACGTAGCAATTCCAACGTTGACAACTGCCCATAAGAAGGCGGTTTGCACAGTGCGATGGGTAGTAAAATTAGAAAAAAGAATATCGCCGTGGGCCATCGAATAGGGGGAAACCGAAATTTTGTCCCCATCTGGAAAAAGTTGTAGGTGATTTTCGGGGGAAAAAATTGAAAAAAATGATGAAAACGCGGAAAAAACTAAAAAATTGGGGAAATTAGAGAAATTTTGAGTAAAATCCAGTAAATTCGCCCTGTAAAATATTTTCGACTGCCCTAAAAACAATTTATAAGCCATTATCATCACTTTCACTAACCAACTTCACCAAAACATCCCGAGTAGACCTCGTAAAACGAAGTGAAATTCCCCCCGAAAACTCAAAATCCCCCATATCCAATTAAATCCAGGTGATGCGGCGATAAAAATTCATAACTTTTTATGAATGGCGCAGTGCTTTTTATGCATGGGCAAGATTAATTCGCCTGCCCTCTGGCTCCACAAACATTTTCTCATTGCGCGCACAAAAAACGAACGGGATTGATTGCGCAAGAGAGATAAGTTGGGGAGTGCGAAACGGACGAGGGTTTTGGAGGGAAAATTGGAAAAATTGGGGGATTTTTGGGAAGAAAAAAGGCCGAGAATGGCGGGGGGAATTTTTGAAAAACTTTGTGGAACATTTAGTAATTATTTTTCATAAAATTTGAAATTTTTTTTAATCAAAAAAAATAAAAAAAATTTAGTAAAATTTGGTAAAATACGAGAAATTAATGTCGAATTTTTTTTTCATTAATTTTTTTTAATTTTAAAAATTATTAAAATTTTTTTTAAATCGAAAAATTCGAAAAATCGAGAAAAAATTTTTAAAATACGACCATGCATGCCTTTTAGAGACTAAAACAAGGCTTAAAAATCCCTAAAATACACTTTTTTTCCAAAGTTACATACCTAAACTTTTGAAAAATAGCAAAAAAAATCAAAAATCTTCGAAATTTTTTGAAAAATCCAGGCCGAAATCCAAGTTTTCTGGGTTAAATACGGCCTGTATGGTATTTTTTTTGTATTTCGAATAAGCTAAAACCATCTACGATACCCTAAACCGGCCCAAACCACCACAAAAACCCCTAAAATTTCATGCAAATTACGGAACTTGGCGAGAAATTTTAATAAAACTCCCCCCGCCTTTCAAAACAAAAGAAAGTGAAAACAATATGCAAAACTGGGGAGAGGGAACCAGTTCCGGGACCCTGCGGGCCCGTTATGGTAGCTGTTAGTGATCTAATTTAATTTCCCCATTAGCCGGTAGATCGAAAAAAAAGAGAAACCCGATGAATTCCAATTATTCATGCGCAATAAATTTCGAGAAATGAACCTTTTTCGAACCGCGACGGTGTCAATTGCGTGTTAATGGGCGAGGAATTTGGAAAGCGAAAAGTTTCGGGAGCAGTGAGGTTTTCGTGGCGGGACCAAAAGCTGAAAGCGATTTGGAGAAAAAATGGTGAAAAGTTGACAAAAATAGTTCAAAATTGAAATCAAATACTATGAAGAATATACTAGATTCCCTTTAAAAGCATTTAAATTAAATTCTAAAAAAAAAAGCCAAGATTTGACAATTTTTTTACTGCACCGTGCAAAATTTAAATTTTCATTTTTTTCGCACTGTGCAACAGCAAAAGGCATAAATATCGATCAAATAGCTTGTTTAGGAAGAAAACATACTATTTATTGTCAATTTTATTTTTTGCTTTAACATTTATTCCATTTCCGGGTGCTCATTTCCACTGCACCGTGCAAAATTTAAATTTTCATTTTTTTTGCATTGTGCAAGCGCAAAAGGTATAAATATCGATCAAATAGCTTGTCTAGAAATTAAAAATACTATTTTTTGTCAAATTTAATTTTTGCATTTACAATTATTCCATTTTCGGCCGCTCATTTCCACTGCACCTTGCAAATTAAAAAACTTGATTTTTTGCACTGTGCAAATAAAAAATTTGTTGGAAAAGGGTAAAATACGACTAATGGCTCTTCTTCAAGCCTATTAGTGCCAAAAAATTTTTTTCCTTGGCCAATAATACCTTTTTGTCATCATTTTTTCCCAATGCACTGTGCAAATCGATCAACATCATTTTTTCGCACTGTGCAATAATTTTTACTTTTCCAAACCTCTCCATAAAGTCTTTCATGCCATTATCTCGTAAAGTTCATAATTTCCATTTCCATTCCGATTCGAAACCGACGCCAAAACCGCTTGCGGGCATTAATAAGACAAAAAAAACGGTGCGCCCCAATTTCGCCCGTCCCCCCTTTCCGCAATTGACTGACAGTTCCAGGTCGTGCGATCAGTTTCGCAATCTGTAACGGGTAATTCGAATTAATCGGTAATTTCACGGTTATCAGTGGGAAAGTGAGAAACTCGCGCGAAAATGAAGAGGCTTGATGGATGATGACGAAATTTTGATTGAAACAGTTGAAAATGGAGGAGTGATTGTGAAATCAACTGTTAACATATATATTTTTTGAATTTGTGGAGCGAGTAATGAGTAATTAGAATAGCATTTTAATTATCATAAAAAGTGCAAAAATTTATTTTTTTTTCAAAAAATTTTGTTTTAAAAAGGGATGCGGAGCATGGTGACTCGGCAAAAATTTAAAAAAATAGATTTTTAGGTGCAATGTACGGAAGGCATTCAGGTTTTTCAAAGTTTGAAAAGTTTTTCACAATCAGTAAGCACCGAATTCATACTTACAAGGGAAGTCTTTGAAACTGCTCAGATTTTCGTTAAATCTCGCATAGGCCTTACAATTAGAAAAAATTATTCTCAATTTACACCAAGTTTCATAAAAATCTGAGGGTCGCACTTGGAGTACTTCACTGTTAATTCTAAACGTTATGCTAAGACATAGAAAATATTGAGTATAAAAAACAAAAAAAAAAATCATATAAAAAACTTTCAAAAACTTAGAAAATATTGAAAAAAATCTTTGTAAAATACGTCAAGCGTAACCAGGGTATAATTTTCAAAAATCCCCAAAAATCAAAAAATCCCAAATACTCAAACAGACTACCCCAAAATTTCCCGCATTTACAGTTGCCAAAAAAATAGATAAAAAACAGTTTTAATTGCGCAATAAACCGATCGCTTTCTTAAAACAATCAAGCCCTTCGATGGCACTGCTGGCAGATCGGAAGCCCAGATAAGACGCGCAAAAATTTTATTTTTTTACACTCTCATTGTTATAACGGTCAATCACACCTCGAAGGAGCGACGCTTTTGGCATCGGAGACATTGTAAAGTTACCGTGTTCGATTACTGATATTATACTTGACCTTGAGGGCCGAGAATGGGATTAATAAGAGTGGACAGGGAAAGTGGGGGGTTCATAAGACGTGGGTTATATTTTTACAAGAGAAATACCATAAATGCGACAATTTTTTTTGTAAATTTTGCACACACGCTTTTGGAATAGGCCACAGATCAATTCCTGAAAGTTTTAGCTCGCGCTTTGCAGGCGCCGCCGAGATATTAAATGATATTTGCTGCCAAGAGAGTACGCGAAACGCGGACAGCGGTCAGAGAAAAAAAACACTTTTTGACCATATCCTTGCCAGTTTCGAGCGGAAAAAATAATTTTTTTGTGGATATATTACCCTCTATGGTAGAAATAAGTATAAAAATTTTCATGCCAAAATTCGCCAAAAAGTGTCTTATTTTTGCCAATTTTCGACCCAAAAATCTCGCTTTTTTTCTGCAAAACGCGAGCTAAGATTCTTGCATATATCTTAGAAAAACTTATTCTTAGTTTGTGACAAGTTACATCAAAATCTGAGAGTCGCACATGGGGTACTTTCCTTATTAGATGCTTACTATATATTTTAATTTGAAATCAAATAATGATTTGTTTCAAGTCACAAAACTTTACGAGTTTTTTGTAAGCCATTTTGCACTAAGATTTGTCCAGAAACTTTCTTGTTTTTATAAACCTAAAATTTGCATTTTTCAATCTGGAATGGAATGCTAGTTATTATAAAATAGTCGTATTTCAGAGCAGTAACTATTACATACAAAAGAACATACCTTAAAGTTTTTATAAGCCATCTTGCTCTACACAGCATTGCCAAAAAGACTGCGCGTATTTTACAAAATCTTCCGGCCAGAACCCTTAAAAATACCCAAAAATGACTAACCAAATTCCCCAAGCCCCCAATAAAACCGTTCATTTCGCAAATCGGCGGTTCGATTTCCTTGAAGGACACGGATTTTCGGTTTAAACCCCGCCGAAATCCAAGTTATTTTAATATGCCGTAAGCGGCGGGGAGGATAATTTTCGGCTAATTTACAGTGAAAACTTTTCGCAAATCCCGGCGGCTATTACACAAAAATTATTCGAATTTTCGGCGGAATTTTAATAAATTTTTTGAAATTTTAATCTTTATTATTTTTATTTATAGAAAAAGAACTGGAGAATGCGTATTTTACAAACAAAAATAACAATCTTGCTCTTCAGCTTTTGCACGGTGCAGAAATTTTAAAATTTCGGCCGCACTGTGCAGTGTGTTATTCTAAAAAAATTAACTTTTATATCGTGCAGGGGACTCAGAATTTCGATTTGTATGTAGCCCCAATAGGAGTAGTTTGACCACAGTAACTATAATTTCAATTTTTTACCCATTGCACAGTGCAGAATTCGAAGAAAAGTTTTTGCACTGTGCAATGAACATAAAGTGAAATTCTGCACCGTGCAATGAATAAAAATAGAAACAAATATCATATTCGGGTCAAACAAAACATAATTACTCTAGAAAACTTTCATTTACTATATCAAAACACTTGCACATCCCAAAAATCTCAAATTTTTACTCCGCACAGTGCAAAATCCAAACCTCAAATTTCGCACAGTGCGTCAAAAAACCAAGTGAAATTACAAAGAAGTAAATTGCTGATCCCATTTCCGAAATGTAATCGAATTCGAATTCAATAAAACGCTCAGTTTTTGTTTGAGAAAAGTGTTTGGAAGTTTTTAATCAAATCAAAACGAGAAATTGATCACCTAAGGTAAGATTCGCCCCGCCGAAAATGTTGTTTTCCCCTTCGAAACAGCGACTTTCACTTCGCAGACAAGGGCAACAAATGGT